GTTGGTGAGCAGGCAAGGGGTATCGGCAAGGGGTGGCGGGAACATGTGCCACGCGTCGGTTGATGTGCATCCCATTGAGGTGGCATGTTGTGTAAGCAATGTCACGCGGTTCAGGAACTGTGGAGCTGTGTGTCTTTATCAAAGTAGCGCGTTGGCGATGCGCGGCGATCCTCTCGCGCTTATGATTCCATGGACAATCCACCAAGAAATGCGTTTCTTGCTGTGGTGTGCTGTGGTGTGTGTGCTCAAGCAAGGGACTCGCATGGCTGCACGCCGCCGCCAACCGCATCGCTTCAAATCACTCCTATGGGTGCCGTGCAGTGCAATGCGAGGAGTTTTTTTCGTTCACTAGGCCGGACTAGGGACTTACCCTTTGACCTTATCTGTAGGAGTTGTCCTCCGCGCCTTCGGGTCATGGGTGACAATTAGCAGCTGCACGAACGAGGGGAGGAAGTCTTACATCATGGCTCAACTGGGCCGCTTGTTGGCGATTTTTTTAAAAATTCTCGCTCTATGCCCTCGCCGAACTCCTTTGCATGATCAATTTCATTTGCAATTAAACGATTAAATGTGAAAAGAGAATAGCAGAAGCGAAAGGGACGGCGAAGCAGGGGCCATATTAGCCGGCCGATAACATGTGTGTGTGTGTGTGTGTGTGAAACAGGGGGGTATATCTTCGCCCGTGGCAGCTACCCTGCTAAACCCTGCCTTCCCCGGTATTTCAGGGCACCCTCATCCAGTCACCCTAGTCAACTTCTCAGTGGATCGCTCAGGTTCCGCACCCACCACCAGCATCCAACAGAATCTGCCGGGTCGACAGCGGCCCAACTCCATTCCTGGTCGGCTCGCAGGTTAACTTTATCCCAGGTCACCACCGTCCATCAACTAGGGGCGCAATACCTTCCACCATTGGAAGACTTTCTGACCCTCGCGGGTATTGATCCCGGGAATCTTCCGGGGGCAATGGTCGCGCGTTACCAGTAGTGCCAAACCCTAGATAACATGTTAGCCGGCCCATTAGCTATGACGTCCTCCGGGCCACCTGATAAAGTTGTTGAGCCCCATTCTGTAATGCTTCTCACGCCCGACCTTTCAGGTATTTTACTTGTATCCCTCTTGACCGCTCGCCGGCCGACTAGTTGACTCCAGTCAGAGTGGACCAGATGCCCACACCGTCCCGCTTTCAGTTAGCATTTTGCCTGGATAAACCGTGGCGAGTGGCTTATGCGAAAGGCGTGCGGGGCCGTGAGCGTCTTCACTGCTCTGCCCATTTTGGCCACAGTAGCCGATGCGGAAAGCAGGTCGTCGGTATAACATGGCGCGTGAATTTCAATTATGTGTATTGGAATAGGCAGAAGTCCTAACATTTCTCTGATTAACTCGTCTCTTTCTTATTTAATATGGCACACAATAAATACATATGTTGTGCAGTTTCGTAAAGAAAATACCCTAAAGCTGGTTTCGGGGCTATCAGTGGAAACGGCCTCTTGTTAAGTTCGTCTGTCCGCCTATAAATTCGTGCCCTGTGGAGTCACCCAGTTACTTCTCGCAACTCCTATTCTTCGGGTTCCCAATAACCACTTTTGGCAAAATGATTAAACCAGTTCACCTGCAGGGCGTGTGTGGATGCTACCTTCCGCCATGACCTCTGAAGCTGTTCGCCGAAGCCACTGTCCGATACCGCGGGCGGGGAGTTTTCCATGCGGGTCCCTGCCGAGCGCCTTTTCCCACGCCTCATGCTTCTTACGCATTACCCTGGAAATCTGGAATGTTGCTTAAATATCGAATTCGCACAGAAGTGCGCCCGCTGCAGGTAGAACAAATGACTACCAATAGCAATGTTATACAAAGTGGGACATTAATATATCATATCGATCCAGTGCGCCTAAGGAGAGCTGCGGGGCGAGTTGCCGAGTACAAACTCTTGTTTCTAGGAATGCGCGGAAGAGTATTGAAATCCATGCCCAGATATGTCTTGATTGTACAGATATGACAGGAGGGCCCACATAGCTTTTCCTCCGAAACTATATTGCGTTCCTTAGGACGTGTTCACATGTGGGCGAATCAGGGTTGATTCATGCGAATTGGACTCTGAATTGGACCTGATTGGACCCGAATCGGAATTGGGGTCCGGGGGGGCCTCTTCGGGTATGATTCGACGTGATTCACAGTTTTCTTTCTCAAAACAAAGTTGTTTAACAAACCGTTTATCATAATTACCATTACAATACTATAGGAACATTTTCCAATTGTTAATTCACGCAAAGCGCACCGAGCATTTTTCACGAACTCCTGCAGCTATGTATGTACAAGCCTGGTGATAATTTTCGCCATAGAAACGATACTTATACTGTTCTGTTCCTAGATAATGCTGGCTTGCCTTGGGTGATGGGGCGTAGCCGCGGAGCTTCAGCTGGGCGCGGTGGCACCTCGTGCGGTGGCCGCAATCGTATGTGAACACAATTCAGAAAGCCGCCCCGAATCGGACTCCCAATCAGACTCTCAATTGGACTACATGTGAACACACCCTTAGTAAGGCAGTGCTCCGGCCTGTCTCCGCACCAGGCAGCTATATCATTCATCACGTAAAATACATTGGAGCTCATTGTCACAGTACAGTCCATGATTCCTGTGGACCACATGTCCACGGGCAATGTGGAATTGCAACAACGCCTTGTATGCTGTTCGCGGGTTCCCAGGCGCCTTGTATGGGATGCCTGCAGCTGTTCCGGCATGTTCCCGGATGCCTGCAGCTCCGCCCTCCGGCCTTAGTGATTGCTTGGCTGTCCACCTGCAACATGTCCAGACCTTGCTTTGCTTAACGGTTCCATCACTACACACACACCGGAGCAGGCCATAAAGTTCTCGGATGCCCTGCAATCACCCGTGTTGAGCTCAAGGATTCCAGCTGCTCCAAGTGCGCGTTCGATTGCCGAACTTAACAAGTCGGTACATATGCAGCGGTCTGACTTCACCACTATACACGACAGGCAGGCTGGCCTCCAATGCACACATCGTCAACTCTTTGAATGACCGAATCGGCCTATAACGCGTTGCATTCCGGCCAAGGGATCGAAACCCTGGTGGGACAGGGGCACTCCCCAATGCCCCCAACGGGCTTAGCAGCGGTTCCACCCTTACAGACACAGCTGCAGCGGTGGCCTTGCTGCCTGTGGTCACAGCAGCATCAGTGGCCCTCGCCGGTGCTGACACCCCAGCGGGCTTTGCACCCCACGACGCCGGAAATCCTGACAGCGGTTCCACCCTTACACCACATGAAGCTTGCGTAGAGGGTGACACCAATGCAGCTCGTGAAGGGTCCTCGTTGGGATATAACACTTTCGCTTCTCCTTCATCGCTACCCATTTTAAGTATAATACCAATATATTGTTATGGCATCAGGAGCTGCGTCGTGCTGTTACGTTTCCACATCCCTTGTGCGCACGTGGTCCACAGGAGATGTATGTGGACCGCACTGCGACAGTAAGTTGAACATGGGATGAAAGCCTTATGTGGCATGACAATCGTACAGGATGTATCCCCAGCGCTGTAATGTGCTCTTGCTGTGATACCGCAATACATCGCTCTGCATCATCACTGTTCCGCGTATCGAAGCCCTGACCAATGCAACATCGCAGACTTGTGATCAGGCTTAAGCATCTTGCCCCTGACTACAGACCTTGGTAAGGAATTCATTGAATGCCGCAACGCACCCCCTTGAGCGACGGAAATGCCCAACCTCCAAGCGCCACCAAGCCCGAGAGAGTGCAGCTCTTGAGCAAACAGTAGCCCCGACACCAGCAAACATGCTCATGTCGCCAAATTTATGTCCTTTCGCCACCCTCCTCCCTTCTCTGGCCTTCCTGTGAGGCAGCACGCCGCTCCCCTGACTTTCCCTGACTCGCCAACAACGACATGGCGACGTCTCTTCCTTCGCCTGAAGTACCGCCCAAGCCTGCCCCATGCCGTACCCAGCACCCACGCCTTACACGGCCGACTCACCCTCTGCCACAAAGATTCCGAAAAACTAAATAGCAACGCAAAAATCTAAGCCATTTACCGTGTCCTTTCGCGGTCGTTCCCCTACTGCTCCTAGGTTTTAGGGTTTCAGGGTTTAGTGGAGAGTCCTTCACCGCAATCGACTTCTCCATTCGACACCTGCAGCAACGTCTTCCGTCAAACCCAAGCAGCCCTGCACACTCGGCTTGTCACCATTTCCAGCGGCTGACTTCGGCTGAATTGCGATTCATCGGCTTGGAAGCGTCCAACTGCTCGATGGCCCAGTGTGCTCTTCACGAAGAGCCACAGGGCAGAAGATTTCCCCGAATGAGCTTCCAATGTATAAATCCGCACGTAATGCTTGGACTGATTGTGCACCACCCGCCCGAGACACATCTAAACACAGCTCCTCGTAAGCCGGATGGGCGAAAATAAGAATTTATGTCAGGATCACGTCACTCTTTCAAATCCTACTTATGCATATCGAATCACTCCTCCAGCGTCGCTGTCCATGTACATAGTAAAACCCCAGATAGCTTTAATAGCTCTGATAGCTCTTAACTCTACCTACCAGTATAAATACCTGAGCTATGTTAATCGACTCCGTTTCTCGATTGCAAGGTACAGACGCTCCATGCAACATGGCATTCCGCCTCGCGTATTCATCACATGCGGTGCTGGCTGTTTGACTAAGAGCTATTGTTTCCCCCCCCTTGGTTGGTTGGTTGCCGGCGCAAACGTTACGACCGACAATTCCACACACCACGCACGCATGGTGTACCTAGCACCCTGCACAGCTCGTCATCACGAAATCCATCCGCTCACCCATCAACACCTGCGCCGCTAGCTCTCTGCAGCGTCCCATCATTCTGCCCACCCACTCACTCACCCAGCGGAAATGGCGTCCAACAGGAGCTGGCACATGCGAGGGCCCCGGTTTCGGCGCGGGATGCATTACCCATCCCACCTCACCCGACACCCCAAGGGAGAACCACGCAATGCTAGTGCATGTGCGACGGGCCCTGGCCCTTCATTATGTTGTGTAGAAGCTTCTTCCAGCTCTTGTCCATAGGGCAGCCGGCAAGATCGATGTAGTGCAGCCCTGTGTTGGCCTACGCGAGTGAAGTAGCGGGAATGGGGAGGTGAGATTCTGGTGGTGGTGGTGGTGGTGGTGGTGATGGGGAAAGATTTATCCCTGAACTCCCTACAACACGAAACACACGGGCTGCAGTTCCAGGGCAATATGGCGACGCGTACAGTGGGCAGTTCCCAGCGGCACTCCTTACGTAGAAACTCTGCTTGCTGCGGCACCGTACACGAAGGAGCTACAGCCGGAAGAGGCCTAGTCGGGCTGTAGCCAGGCTACAGCCGCGGCCAAGGGAGGACTACAGCTGAACAAGGGTCCGGCAATACACTTCCTAGGTGCTCCTAACTCTTCCATGAATTAACAGCCCAGCAGTGAACGAACACACCGTTACAAAGCGAGCTTCCTTGCAGCAGAGCGCTCTGGGCTCCTTGCCATGTTCTCCTCTTTCTTCTCTTTCAAGTCATTACGGTTCACATGCTCTGACGCATCACGCATCGCGCATGTTCTCCGAAACGAGCTGGCTGAAGTCCCCCAACCGGCCCTAGAGGTGTGGTGTTGCCTGCTGCGAAGTCCCTCGAGCCCTACTTTACCTGCAACGAGTCGGCGAGCAGTTTAGCCCCGGTATCCGTGATGCGGTTGTTGCCCACGAACAGCTTCTCTAGTGTGTTGTTCTGTTGGAGCGCCTGCAGGGTCAAAAGGCATTAGCAAAGAGTTTGCGGTTATTGTTACCGTTCTGGACCCCGATCGGGTCGAGTGCAGCGCTCCTGAGACCCAGATCGCAAAAACCTTGGGACGCTGGGACTTTAAGTCACGAATCTACACGATGACGGCGGTGCAGCAAGGACCACAGGATCCTTTGAATATCAGCCCAGATGCATCCAGAGCCGAGCTTATAAAATAAGGTCATATTTCTAGACCGAAAGACGGGTAGAACCAAAGGGTAGAAAAGATGGGGCTACCCGGAAGTGAAACGCTTTTGCTCTTCGCACCGAGTGGAATACAGTGCAGTTTGGTAATCGTTTTTGGCCATATGGTGTTAGCATGAGTGCAACGTGTAAAGGTTTTATAAGCTGTTGTGTGGCTGGGGGCCCCCCCGCACAGAGTGTGTCGCTCGCCTGGTGCGATTTACATGGGTAGATATGTTATTGTGACACATGGTAACGACCACGAGCCGGCCTGCGATGTTGCTGCTCATTGCTCTCACCTGCGCCAGGTAGCCCGCCGCCTTGTCTTCACAGCCGGTGCGTGAGATGTCCAACTCCTTGAGCGTCGTGTTCTTCGCGATGCCCTTGCAGATCGAATCGATGCCTGCGCGGGCAGCCATGGCCAGGCGAAGCAACGCCAACATTCCGTTTGTTGATTTAGCGATCGACGTCAGCTTGTGATATCCTGGAATTTCCAAAAGCTGCACCGCAAAGTAAAAAAAAGCTTTACCGTCCCAGGTTCATCACCACCTTGGAACGGCCAAAGCCCCTGCCGTGGATGGAGCGCGACCGAAAGCATCCGCTGGCCAATCCCCCCTTCACTGGCACCTTGTCGCAACCGGATGACATTTTGCACGATTCTCTTAACACGCTGTTATGCCGCAACGACGGGCCGCGCTACAAGCCCCAGGTCCCTCTTGTTGTCACTGTCCTTCATAAAAATGTGCAAGCAAAGAATGCCGACCTAGGACATTACAACCAATAGCTGCCGCCATGCTGCAGCTGCGAGGGAAGTGCTAAAGTCTACTCCTTACTTTTTGGCAAGACGCGGCCGGGCCGTGTTTGGCGGTGACTCACCTTGGGTGCCCAGCCGTGTGTTCGCTAGGATCAGGCACTTGAGCCCGCGGTTACCCTTGAGCATGGCGCCAAGCGCCGCCGCGCCGTCAACCCCCACGTCACAATTGGAGAGATCCAATCGTTCCAGAACGGAGTCTTCACTCAGCACCTGCAGGCCGGCCCGGGCGGTGTACTCCTAGTTTACTGGAATTACACAATAACAATATTGGACAATCCTGTATTACACAGGACACTCCAGTTTTGTTAATAGGGTCGAGTTTACTAGACCCTATTAACAATACAGAGCGTGGTGGATCTTGGAAGACTTATTTATAATCATGACATTTTGACCCATAAATTTAGTTAACGAAATACGCCGAGCCGGGTGAAGTGGAACACAACGGAACGCGAGATTTGCCCCGAGTGGAGTGGAGTGCTCGGTAGCCGCCTTCACCCATCCTTACTTGACAAAACACCCGATGGAACCGGCCGGCCTCGGCACAATTAAGGCTTTTGCGTTCAACCACACCTCCTTGCGTCTTAACACACACAGCCTCCCTCCAGCCAAAGCCTCTTAAGCTACCCGCCACGCATCCCACAGCTCACAGCTCATAGCCCACACGGCATCAATGTCGCTCCTCTCGCGAGCTCCTCTAGGCATTGAGGCGTGTCCATCTTCGGGACGTACACCCCGTGTACACACCAAGTTACCGGATTGGAGGTACAGGGGGTAGCTTAATACTAATCTAAATCTATTACTCCAAATCGATACAATTCCAAACCCCATTCCCAGCCCCGCGCACCCTCAAAATTCGAGAATGCTTTCCTTCCCTCTCTCACGTGGGGCACAGCCACACGGGGCATGCGCTTTCCTAGAACTCCGTCCAACTCACCGATGCAATGCCCTTGACGCCCACAGGGCCCAGGCGAACGTTGTTACTGAGGTTCAAATTAGCAACGCACTTGTACTGCATGATGTAGGTGGCCACTGCCTCTGCGCTCTGATCGCCCATCTCGTTGTTGCTCAGGTCCAGCTCCCTGCACACGTCGAAAGGCGCCAACAGCCATTGCCCGATTGAGGATCATTGCCGGTGCCAATAAGACCGCACCGTCATGTGGACGTGCAACCGGGGCAGCAGCGAACCAGTTCCTATCATCTGCAACAGGTTAGCTCGTGTGGTCCAACGTGTAACCAACCGTTCAGCAGCAGGCGACGCACTGAGGCCGCCAAGATGCCCAAGATGCCGTACCTGATCTTTAGGCCGTACAGGTTGTGCCGTAGGCCCTCGACTATGTGCACCACCGACTCGTCACTAAAGCGGTTGTCTGCCAGAAGCAACACGTCGAAGCCGGTCGTCTCTGCAAGCACCTCCTCGAACATCTTGGCCATGTGCGGCCCTGCTGGGTTGGCATTGAAGAGCAGCAGCGGCAGCGGCACTGCTTCGGCAAACAGTAGCAGTGGCGGGAGAGCTGTCCCGCGATAGCATCAAGGATAGTATCGAGGCAAGGATTGATTCATTGAGGCGTGCAGGCGCGGCATGGTGCGGTGCACACCAGCGGCGGAACAGCGGCACGGCCGGCGCGCTGCGCCACAGTGCGGTGCGGCACTGTGTAGCCCTCTGGCGCGGTGCGCAAACAGGGGATGACGTGCGCGCAGGACGCACCCACGGGCTGTGTATTTATAGCATGCAGGAAGGATAAAAAGCTGAAAGTAGGAGGGATGGAAACACACCAGACGAGTCTAATGGCCTCTCGCCCACTCACACCTTGAGTTTCTGAACATAGCACCGCACCTGGTCGAATGTTGGAGGCATCAACCTCGCGGACCGTCCGCGTGTCTGAGAGCGCCTGAAGGAATGCACACACGCGGTAAGGATTTGTTACCCAAGTCATGCAGTACAGGCTGTCGCGAGCAATCAAGTAGAAGCACGTAAAACGTATATTTAACAGTGATCGGTTGTATGGATGGATAGTAAGTCATAAACCCGTAAAAGTAGTGTAGTGAGCACCATCTTATTAGTGGCAGGAATACGAAGACGAGAACACAACAGAGCACCGCAGAAGTCCTGGTTTGGGGGAGTCTAATGACCTAAAAGTGCGTGCCTTCAATGGCTATTTGAAAGGCGAGCTGGTGACGGGTCCCGGAACGGGCTTCTTCAGTCCCAGTCCCAAGAGCTCCTGGTGTAATGGAGTGATTACCGCACCAGGCAGTCATCCGTACGAAGGAAATGCGTGATGTTCCTCCGTCTTTACAGACACCTCAGCTCTGTCGGCCCCACTGCACTGCACTGCAAAACCCAGTCCACGACAGCCGTCCCTTTACGTTACCCCAGACGCGTACCCTGTACCCCATCGCAGCTTAGGGCACCCACCGCACAGCGTCGCGCTCTCACAGCACCTCCTCACCCTCGCACCATTACAACGACTCGCAGCAATCCGCACCCCACCTGGTCGCGTGTGATGTGTCGGTCCACTTTGCGTGCCAGCTCCTCCGCCGCGTTGAAGCGCACGGCGCCCTTGTTGAAGGTACGCAGCGCCTTGCGCAGCATGTACATCTTGTGGCCATCCGCCAGGTGTTTCGCCTCGCCCCTGCGCGCACCGGAACGCAAATGCCCGAGGGAAAACACCACCTTGCCGCCGCCCCGCTGTCTTGCCTCAATGATTGCGACCACAGCCCTTCCAAGCTCGTACGGCGAAACTATGAACCAGAGGGTCATCGACCTCATAATTTCTGGCAAGGTGGAAATAAGTTATAGCTAGGAATGGATGCGATGGTTGGATTCTCCCGGGTATGACACTTGAGTTCCCTGTCCCTAAGCGAACATCCCCGATAGATATCCCTTGCGGTTTGCAGGCTATTGAGGCAATCCATACCTGCAGTTCATGACGTACTTGTCGTACAAGGGCCGCAGCGTGAGCCGGTCGTTGTTCTCCCGGAGCTGCACGTTGCACCTGTTTGTTTTCGCCGTACAAGGGAGGGCGAAGCGGCAGGGATAGTTTGAGGGTGGAGTGTGCAAATGCAAAAAGATAACAAGCTGTTTTGTGGAAGGCCGAGGGCGTATGGGCATTGTGTGTGTGTGCGTGTGTGCGTGTGTCGCACGGCGCTACCAGCGCGCCCGCGCCCACGAAGCTAACGAAGAGACATATAATTAAGACACGTTAGACAAGAAAACAGAATGATCAGAATGATTGCTCCAAACAGGAGTTGAACCTGAATACGAAATCCAGCACCAGCGCTCGTGGCAGGCGCGCCGCGTTGGAGCGCATGTACAGCAGCGGGTAGCCGTCCTCATTGAGGGGGTGCAGCCAAGGGTCGGCCAGTGATAGGCGGATGAACTTGTCTACCACGTTCCAGACCGCGAGCAGGAAAGCGGCGTAGATGGCATTCAGCGCCGACTTGTGCTCCAGAATGTTCCTGTCAAGAAATTCGAGTCAGTTGCATGCGTGTGCGTGTAACACAGTTGCACAGTTCAGCAAAATAACTGGTTGGCATGTGCTCGAGAGAATAGCATTGTGTAAGTGAAAACATCAGAGCCCTATCCTGGAGGTTGAATCCCTTGGGGTCTGGGGCTCGCTAGGCTGCAATTTTATGTATATATATTATATAATATATTATATAATATATATAATATAATATATATATTATATTATATATATTATGTATATATATTATATAATATATATATTATGTATATATTATATATATTCATTATATATTATATATTATATATATTATATATATTTATTATATATTATATATAAGCTAGTATTATTACGAGGGAACTCGTGCTTGCATGCATGCATTGGTTCAAACGTAATATTGCACGGCGCGCTGCCGTGCACGTCTGCGCCATGAACGACACATCCGTTCGCAGGCTGCACAGCGGCGGAGCCTGCCAGCCGCATGTGTCTGCTAACATTGGGATCAAACGAGAGCCACAGGACGCGAGGGAAAGAGCAAGAAGAAAACGCATTCTATACTGTACTTGCATAGAAAGCACTTCTTAACAACAACTTCCACACGCCGCCGAGGGCAGAAGTATTATACAAAGAATATTCTCATCTCCCATTGTTGTTCAAAATGATCGCAGGAAGAAAAGACCAAGAAACGAAGCCGGCAACACTCAACTCGAACTGGTCCTTGAGCGCAAAGATCGCGTCGTACAGCACACCCAGGATGATACAAGCGGGCAGCGAGTTCATGATCATATGCAGGCACACGCGCGCTTCCTCGTAGCCCTGCAGCATCATCTGGGTCATTCCCTCAATCATAATGTTGCTGTGCACCACCGAGGACAGCAGCTGGATGTCGAAGAACAGGACGTCCACCTGCAGCAGGAGGCGGAGGAGGTAGCGCAGGTTCTGGTCCGCTAACAACGCGAGCTAAAAGCGCGGGTTCTGGTCCGCTAAAACCGTAGCTCTACACGCGCATAATTCAAAGCACAGAAAAAAGAGCTCTTTTTATTAATAAGTACCTGCCGCCTGGCGAAGTTTAGGACGTCCACTCCGGTGTACACGGGACAGTCAATCGGCCTGTCATTCTCCATGTACCTGTGGAACATGGCATGGAGCGGCACGGACGCCAGTTCTGGCCTTGGATAAAAAGATTGATGAAAATTTGGCAAAGGGGGACACTGCCCAACGCCACGCAACACGGGACACCGTTGCGGGGCACCTGAACGCCTGAGAGGCTTTAATTGCTATGTCACTTCATTACGACGCGCGATTTTTTTTTATTTCTGCCTTCCGCCTTGTTCGCCCGATTGCGCGGCCTTCCAGCAGGACGGCAGGACGGACACCGTGTAACATGACGTTTGTTTTACTGATGCTGTACCAAGGTCAAAGGAACAGGGCACCTGCCTGAGCCGAACGGTCGTACGGTCGTACTCACATGATGACTGCCATCAGGTAGTGCGACAGGAAATAAAGCAGGCCCATGGTCACAGACACCCAACCGTTGCCGTTCTGTGATACAATCTGCGGGCAAACAAGAAGACAGGGAGAAGTCAGGGAAAGAAGAAGAAGAAGAAGAAGAAGAAGAAGTAGAAAAGCTATGTAAGCAGGAACATTACCTCGTCCATGTAAGGATGTAAAAACGGCAGCGCTGCGCTGCGCTTTGGCTTGTACGCATTCCGGAAGGGAGCCAGCAGCCGGCGGTGAGGTCATAAAACGCGGATACCTAAGTACTTAGCAGCCGCAGCGTGACTGGGGAGCACGTCCGCCTCCCTAACAACGTTATCAACAAACGCCATCAACTGCCAGCACAGTGCCAGCTAACCCGTCCTATCCTCACAACCCCACCACCACCCACCTATCCACCACCTGCCTACATAACACTCCCACCTTTACCCTCCCTCCCTTCCGACGAATATAACGCCCCTGTCCCTTCCCGACAAATCGCCGTGCTGTTCCTGGCAGTCATTGCCTAACCACGCACAGCCCTGCGCAGCCACCGCAAGGCCGCGACACCTCCACCGCTGTACGTCACGTACCTTAATGACTACAAAGATGAGGATCACGTCCACGAAGTGAAGGGCCAGCGAAGAGGTGTTCCAAGCCCACACTATGATCGCGCGCACGGTGGGCATGGTCTTGTCCATCGCGTCGCTCCCGTAGAAAAGCGCATAAGACAGCGGGAACACGAAGCGCTGCCACTTGTTGAGCAACCAGGATAGAACCTTGATGCACTTCCAGGGCCCTATGGCCACGACCCAAATCAGGTACTGCGCAGGACGGGGCGAGAAGCGTGTGCGGGGAATAGCAGGCTGTCAGGAGGCAGTTAGGTGAGTAACATTCCCCGGCTGTTCCGGAACCTGACAACAGACACTGGCCCTTGGACAAGATCCAGCACCGGGCGCAGAAGTGATTGGCCTGAGAGCGGCCTCGTGTGAGACATATGGGTCACGCGCTAGAGGGAAATAGACGGGTACTTCAGGAGCAACGCTACACGGGGAATCAAAAAGGGACGCGAGGTGCAGCAGCAAACAAAGTGACATTATAGATGGTGCGGCGCCCGGGACGCTGGAAAACCTGACCCAGATCCAAGCCTACACAAGGTGACACATGCTCTTTTAGGAAATAGTTAACCCTATACCCCGCCACGGTTAACTTAGCGGCCGCGCCGCTTGTGCAAACACGAGCACATGTGCGCGTGCATGCGCGCGTTCACGTACCTTGAAAATCGCACCCATTATGAGCTCCTGGCTGGTGCTTTGGTATCTGGGCAGCGCTGATGAGCCGCCCGTAATGGGCATCGCTTCCATGTTGTCCCCCTGCGCCGTGGACCGCAACGGAGCCCCGTTGACCCCGTGAACTCGGGGGATGAATTTCATATTCGGGGTGGATCAACCATGCACCCCGCAGCTAAAACCATGGCTCGTGCTGACGACTCGTCCTTATCCTGGTGCTGACCCTCGGGGCCGTCGGGGGATAGTTGTACAAGGCAAGGCTAAGACGCCTGTAACGAAATGGGTCGCGCCGGCCATCATAATGTGGCGGGTATGGACGCCCTATTAGCAGCAACCGGCCGCTTGCCTATGGCCACAGCCGCTTGCTTAACAGGCCATGGGAACCTGACAGTCGCATGAAGGCGCTGGGGAAAATATTGTCCTGGATCAAAAGCATAGTTCCATTCTACATTGTCCTAGTTTTATGGTGCAGCCCCCCTATGTAATGGCCTGTGAGGAAAATCCCGCATCCCATGCTTGTCTCAGCTCGACGATTTCCACTTCGGCTCCCCAGGCCAGATCCGAGTAACTTTTTTCTCCTCCCGAAACCCCAGGCCCCGTAGCCCACAGGCGAAGGGTGCTCGGTTCTAGCGCTCACCGCATACTCCTCGGCCCTGCCCCCAGCCGCTTGCCGACTGCTGCTAGGTCCAGCACCGCCCATCTGTTGAGACGGATGCCCATTAGCTCCCCATGTGCTAGATCCCACCTGCGTTGGCCACAGCTAACTGGCCTTGGAGGGGGATTTTGGCAGCTGGCCATGGAAGACGAACAGTGGTACAAGCCAAGGCTTGACAACCCAAGTGTTCGCATGACAGGGAGAGTGCAGGACTCACGGGGCCCCCCTCACCCCGCGTGCTGGGGCCAGCTCTGCTGCCTCCACGTCAAGGACAGCCGCTGACTTGGCCTTGCGCATGCTCGGAGGCCTTTGCAGCGTCCACCGAAGCTTACGCTTTCACCGCATTCACTCCACGTCCGTATAAACCTAGCTATATGCCTCACCGCACATGGCGGTGCTGAAATATGACTGTGATTGAATCAACCCTCTCACAAGTCCGCAGGTTCAAAAGCCAGGATCGGATTGCATAAAACTGATACAGTATCTATCTATTTGGGACAATTTTGGCATAACATGTATATGGCAACTGCGCTGTCTTCGAAATCAAGCACGCTGTAATGTTGCTAAAGAGACGGACGATTGCATGACACAAATAAGAAGCATTACAACATGTACCAATACGGATAAGCCGTTAAGTTGGCATGGTATCGTGGCGGGTTCCACGACCTTCGCCTCCGCACGCTCCTCATGCACACCCCATGCAGTACACGCTGGCGCGGTTTACCATTGCTCAGCCACATCCACATCCGCAAACCATGCCATCAGCTTACTACTATACTGTTACCTTAAGTCTTACAGTTAAAGGTGAAAGCTTGGTATTACGGCAAATCCTTTGTGCAGCTGCTCAGGAAGCCACCTACCAAGCACCTTTTGCGCCTGTTGTTAGAGTAACGAGATCAATAAACTTGCCTGGTAGGAATCCAAGAACTCCTTCTTCACACCCATATAAACTTTGCTTCAAACCGTACTTCATGCCGGTAGCGTACGGTACTCATAGGCCCCCGCTCCACAGGCTCGACGATGGACCTAGCCCCCGCTCCCTTTATTGGATTTGGCGGGTTATGTAATTGACAGGCCCCTGAGACTGCCCCGTTCAGCACGTAGTATGTTCGGATCTGGGTTTCCTTTACTATTCATCGCGCATCCCAGGCCGAATGGACGCCTGCATGCGTGTGCAGCCGCGTGTTGCGACCAGTTCCGAGTTATTTTACCGTTCCCTATTTTGTGCGAGCGCCTCGAATGCTTTCCAACACGTGTTATGCAGGCGACCACTGACGCTGTCTATCAGCCATGTTTTAACAGTGTTGTACCACTGCATGGAGCCCTAATGCTGGCCAAGGATACACGACCAGCGCAATTCCACCCACACTAGATGGGTACGAAAAATAGCTGCTGCACAAGACATACCTAAACAATAAAGCAAAGGAACAGCCATTACTTCCGGCACACCCGGCCGCAAGTGGCGCTGCAAAAACCACAAGCACCCATGATATCATACCGCATGTTCTGTTTCGTCGACATCCTAAAGAGGTGAAACACTAAGCCAGGGTCAATGACCCACATCAGCCCACCCGCATTACTCAACCCAACCGGGTGGGAATGGCATATACCCCTACCCGCGCAGACACCCATGTCGCCAGATGCCACCAAGGCTAGCGTGGCCACGGTCCCCACAACAGGGCCCCGATCATGGCGCGCCTCCCATGCCGCCTCACATTACCTACTCCCGCGCTTGAATCGCCACTGCACCCTTGTCGTCACGAAATCTGTTTCGGGCACTCCAGGCAACCCAGTTCTCAGATTAAGACGCTGCAATCCCGGGCCAGATCTAGTGCATGGCACGACTACGTGTCGTACTGATGGCTCCCGTTGAGCTTCTCACGAGGCACGCAGCAGCGGTTGGGCAGCGTGCCTCGTGCACAGCTGCCGCTGCTGGCACCGCTGAAGCTGCTGCTACCCCCAGCCAGGACATGGAACGGTAAGAGTGGCGAGCCCGTGCCCTGCGCCAGGGGCAGCTGCACAGCGCAAGAGTATTCGCTCCACTTTGAATCAGAGGTGGTCGCCCTTCTTGTACTCGTCGAGGTAGTCGTAATTGGGAACGAACTTGAGCTACAGGTTCATAACAGGTGGGTGGCAAAATGGTGGCAAACGTCATATCTGCTATTAGTTGATGCCCCAAGTGGCGTGCCTAGGCGTATATGACGGGACAGCGGAAGCGTATGGCAGCTGTGTGCTGTCCGTACAGCAGACAGTCATGTCTGGCCCCCCTTTCGCTAACCTTGGGTTGGCTGGGATTAATGCCGTATGCCGTTCCCCCGATGAACTCCGGCTCTGCGAGGAGCAAGCCATATTAGCCACTCTTTCAACATCATGGATGGCCAGCCAACTGTACTTACTGACGACGGGTTCCCAGTAACGGAATCGTGCAAGCAGCTCCTCGCCATGCTCCAACTTTCTGCGAATTTCCTCGCGATCGCTCTGCGTTTCGGGCAAGACGCAACCAGGGGTGAACATAATTGCACAACGACATGAACGATACACCCTCTTCAACTCTTCATTCCCTCTCGCTGAAAGCGCACATACCAGGTTGCGGTTGTCCTCAAACTCCTGACGCAGTGCGTAAGCCTGCAGGGACAAAGTAGGAACGTCAATTCCCAGTTAAGACGGAACACGTTCAGCTACAGCTGGTACACCGTACAAAACATATTGCTTTAAGTACTGATAGCATATTGACACACATCCAGAGAGGTTCCAGCACGACACGGCTGAACTCACCCGAGGGTACCACTCGTGCCGATGAGAGCTCCAGTTGATAAGCTCCTTCAGACCTGTCCGGTACATCCGCATAACGCGAAGCTTATGCGGCAGAGCGAGGACTATCTCGGACGCCATTATGATGGCGTTCAGATAATTATCCCTACAAGCCAGACAAGAGAGGTTGTCCCTTATATAAAAGCCGCACACAGTCTATAAGTCACGAAGCCTTTGTCATTGTGAGCTGCTGTGCTGAGGCGTCTTCGCAACTCAGTTCTTCGTACATTTGGACGAACAATTAAAACATTAGCCCTAAATGAAGTGCATGCCGAGTATGATATGGAATTTGCATTTCCTTTGACAACCTGCTGACAGAACTTGACCTGATACAGTGTAGGATGGGACAAAACCGCTCGTGGGCTGTCTATCCGCAGGTTCAAAAGCACTTTCTTTAAAGGGTTCGGGTGTCATGAGTGACGGTGTATTTCCCTGTGATCAATTTACCCTCCCGTCACCCAAACACATTTCGAAGAGGGCTTTGCGTTGCCAGAGACCGCGCAGAGTAGGACGCCTAGTGCTTACGACGCCCTAATCCGGGTTATTAACATGGCCAAAGGAACAATTGTTGTCTCTCTGCGCTCTAAAGGGCTGCCTTCATTCACCCGATCAATTATATTTGACTTCCGCTACCAAGCCGTCCAGCTTGCGACGGAGTTCCTGGACCTCTTCTTTGCCTTCGTCGTCTCGATTGCATGCTTGTCTTGGTCAGCATGGATCAGTATTGGTATTATAATTGCAACCATCGCGGCGGCTCAGGGCACGAGTTACACGGCGTCGACGGAAGTGGTCTTGGTTTTCTTCATGTACATAGTCCTTCCACTGACCGTCCTTCTCATCCTAGTCTTCAGCCGGCGCGATAGAGCGCTGCGCAGCCTGTCCGAGTTTAAGGCGACTTTTGTATCGCTGCTACTCAGCCGGCCGGCTGGAACGACAGCCGCGCAGCGAGACGCCTCGGACGAACTCTACCGCAGGGCAGCCACCTTTATCGAGGACGTGCGCCAGTACTTGCAGCACCGTCGCCCTTACGCACGTCATTTTTTCCTGCCCTACCGGTCAAGCACGCCAAGTCCAACCGATGAGCTTGTGAGTCCCCCCCGCCAAAATCCTAATAGTTGCCGGAGCCGCGAAACCCACATGCCGCTGAGCCGCTGAGCGCGATATGCATTCCACGAGCCATCGCATCATAACCTTATAAACCACACGCAAAAGAAGACATGCAGGCGTGGGCCCAAAATCTTTGGCCCAGGTTCCACGCGTCTCGCAAAACAGCTCCCCTCAATCCATGCGGCTGAGGACTTAGACCTCTTTAACATACGGTCTGCGGTCCCTGCCAAGCTCCGAAACCCAAATCCCAGGACTTCATCCCCCGTACCTCCGGAAGCCTCTAGATTACTAAGCCACTCAAGCCCCGTCCTTCCATCACCTCTCCCGCAGCTCAAGGTCTCCAAGGAGCTCGGCTTGTGTCTTCGGCGGGTCCACCGCGGCGTTCGTGACATGCACGTCGCCGTGGGGAGGCTCCGGGAGACAGGCGTCAGCGAACCGCTGGTGGGTGCTGTTACGGTTATTACGGTTACAGTTACGGTTACGGTACCGGAACGGGGGGAAGAAGTTTTCTCCTTGCTAGGTGTCCCCTTAGGTCATGGGGAATAGGTCATGGGGAAAGTTATGCGACTAGCGTCTGGGTTTAGGTTAGGTCAGGGGTTGCGGCCGGGGCTGAGGGCAACGGCTTGCCTCCGGTCAAGGTCTTGGTGCTGCCCTCATATTATGATATGAGGCCTTCGTGATTTTCTACGCCCAAAGGCAGTGTGACAGTGCGGCATATGCCGCTATGGCGGCGGCGGGGAAAAAAAGTGGACGGGCTCATTGAAATGGAAACTAGGCTAGAGTTCAGGGGCATCATCCCCTCTGAGCGATGAAGCGGCAGTGTGGCGCACGGGTGGCGGCATGGCTCCGCCCCAAGCGTGCAGCAGCCAATAGACATATCACGGTGCCTGTATATGTGGCCCCAACGCTAACAGTAATGGTAGTAAGGTACATCATCATCAGCAGCAGCATTAGTATGCATCCGTATGTGGGGTGGAGGGCGTTTTAGCGCGAGCATAAATGATCTTGCCGGTGAACTTGGTCACTTCGGTTGGAGTTGGGGCTTAAGGGTTTTAAGGTTTTAGGGTTATGCATTACGCGGAATTGCAAGCGCATTTGCGGGTTGGAGGGAGAGAGGGACAGGGAGAGAGAGACAGACAGACAGACAAACAGGGGATGGTGCTCGCGCGAGCGGCGCTCTTTACCTTGCCCTAGGACAGCCGGGTCGTTGAGAGCACTAGAGAAGAGGAAACGTCCGACGGTTGTTTTTTCCCTCCACACCAAATTTGTGTGGAGGAAAAATACATTAATGCCTCCCACGAGAAGTTGGAAAAACTCGTCATCATCCCCCAATTTAAGAAGCCATTTTTGTGCGGCGGGCTGCCGGTTTGGGGGCTCTTGGCCCCTCACTCCGCACGAGCCAAGCCAATCCACGCGCCAAAACCTCTATTACCTACCTGCACACGGTGGCTCTGCCTGATCCGGGTTGATAGATCAACAATTCTGTGCTGCCTGACTGCTGCGTCTGTGCTGAATCGGCTGTGCGGGGCTGCCGGGACAAAGGAGAGGTGATGACGCCGCAGCTGACGTCCCTAGCGCTTGTGCACATGTGCGCAGCACCTACTGCATTTTCCTGATGTCAATGGTGCCCTACTGCCTGCTGTCGCACATACATACATATACATACACTACACCACATGACAACGTTTTTGCGGTGCCAGGTGCTCGCGTTGGAGTCCAAAGTGTCGGCCCTCCACGCCGCTACGGAGCGGCTCAGTAGCATCAAGGAGATGCGCACGCCCGTGGTAAGGAGAAGAGCTGGCTGCTGCTGCTGTTGCTGTTGCTGTATATACTTGTCGCTTGCCGCTGCCGCAAGGGGATCAAGGGGCACGGAGTGTGTTGTGCTGCATATATCGAGCCGCGTCGGCTTTCTGAGCCGCGTGTTCAGCTTTTGCACCCTGATTACCGGTCATCGTCATCGTTTATTTCTTCTTGTACTTTTCTTTAATTTTGGGGACTTTGGAGACTTTGGAGTGGATGATCATGTTCCGCATGAGCTTTGGCTCCTTGCTTGCCGAATACGGAGGGAAGAAGATAAATAATCACCTAATGGCGAATGCGCAAGGATGACAGAAAGCGGCACCGGTTGCCGCCCCCCCCCCCCCCACGGTTGTGATTTCTGACTTTTGCGCTGCAAGTGCACACTCGCTGCGTGCACTTCCTGCCGTTCGAGGAGATTGATCGCTGGTGCTGTTCGCCTCCCACCGTGTTGCAATCGTCGCTGACGCCGCCGCTGCTGATGCTGATGCTACTGCTGATGCTGATGCCGCAAAACGGATTGACCACCGTTTGGTCGCCGTCGTTGGTGCTGTTTACCTCCCTCGCCGCCCGGTCCCCCCCCCTCCCCTATCCCGTGGCACCAGCTTCACTCGCTCGTGGCTCGTCTTTCCCCCTGTCCCCCCCTTTCGCTTCCTAGGTCCTGCGTGCGACATTCCGGTGGCTGGTGGTGGTGGTCATCCCGGTGGCGATGGGGCCTTTTTGGAACCAAGTCTCTCTGTCCGAAAACAACCGGACGTTCGCGGGCATACTGGGTGTGTTGGTGAGTACTCTATCTCGTGTGTGTGTCTGTGCGTGTGTGTATGTTTGTGTGTATGTGTGTGTATTCCCGTGTGCTCTCTCTCTTTTGGTGTCCGTGCTCCTGTCCTGCAGTGGTAGAGGCGAGAGGGCTTCACACAGTAGTCGCCGGTACCCAGTACCCACTACCGCGCTGGCGACAGCCCGCATCCCCTGTTGCCAAGGATGTTCGTCTTCCTTTACCGCAATGCCCGTGGAAGGGTCTTCCGCGGTCTTCTCCGTTTTCATTTTTCGCCCTCTTCACCCGCGGCCCCCCTCCGGCTCGGCACGCGCGCGCACACACGCTTCCTGGAAGAGCCACATCGCTCTGCTGGGCATCCTGGACACCGTGGTCGCGATGGAGGACCCCTTCGACGACACCGCGCTGGACGCCATCAGCTTGTTTGAGGTGCTGGACCAAGTAGGAGTGGTGAGTGTTGTGTGTGCGTGTGTGTGTGTGTGTGTGTGTGTGTGCGAAGAATGGTGTGAAATGTTGGGAAATGAAGGTATAAAGCGTAAAAAAGAAGCGCACCGAGCTCCGAACTCGAAATGTGGAACTCAAAGCCCGAAAAAGGAGGCAAGGGGGTGAACTCATCTTGTCTGGGTGTCTGGGCACATACCTACCCACATATACCACATACAGCCCGATCGTAGACCCGTCATGCGCCATGTGTCCAGAGGCCAGATGTTGCGTTTGCTGCGGTTTTGCTGCAGCTATGTTTGGTTTAAAAGATGTGGCTCACGTGTGCAGATGACGATGCCTGCTAGCGATGGCGATGGCTACGATACGGAAGGCCTGGGGCTTGGCCGTGATTTCAGCGGCGGTGGCGGCGGTGGTGGTGGCGGTGGCAATCGCGGCGTCGAAGCCTCAAACGGTGGTGCCGGGCATCATCACCCTATGGCCCACGTCGCGATGTACATTAGCGGCGGCGGCGGCGGCGGCGGCGAGGGTGTTGTAGGTACGGCAGGCGACGGGACGGTCTCACCGGTACCTATGCCGCCCCCGTCGGTGGCGGACTCTGCCGGCGGCGTGTCTTCTGTCGGACCTCTGGAGCAGCAGACCGCGCCGGTGAGCCCGTCAGGAGGACGATTACACTGTGATTACCAGATATTACATTCTGCGTGCTTGCGTCTATGTATGTGCGTTTGTTTATACGTGTTTCTGTTCGTGTTTCGAACCTCCTCGCAGGTCCCGCAGATGCACCGGCATGGCGCGAGTTATCACCACCATCACCACCAGCAGCAGCAGGTCTCCGGCATACCGGCAATGCGCAGCTCCATCGTCACCTCCGAAACCGCCGTGGGACCCCCCTCCGCTATGATGGAACCCTCAAGTACAGCCCTCGGTGTCGGCGGAGGCGGTGTCGGCGGCGGTGGTGGTGGTGGTGGCGGAGCCGGTTTCGGCGGCGTGCCGTCCATCACCTCACCCGCACTTCCCGACGTGGGGGCAGCGATCCGCATGACCCACGTGCCCCAAATGCCACCAATGCCGGCGTTGGCTGGGAGCCCGTTGTATCGAACAGGGGCTGTCGTGCATTGACACGTGGCATGACACATTGGCTCGCGGAATGTAACGCCTCTAGGACGAGACCACGACGCAGTTACTGCAGGACTTTTAGTTTTATGCGGTACAACAAAAAGATGGGTCTTATTGGGACGAATGCATCCACGTGTAATAATGTTGGCTCGGAGGGGATGATGGGGGCCCTGGCGGGAGGCAAGGAGTGTTTTCTGGTCTTGTCGTGATGGTTGAAGAAAGGGGTTCACAGGAAGTGGCGACATGTGTTGCCGTACGGGGAGCTTGTGTCGTACTTTGGGGCATGGGCATGTTTATGCATCGAAATGCTTAAAAAAACGGCCTTCCGCTCGGGAAGGCGAGTATTATTATTTAGTACTTCCTATGTGGACGCATCTCTTATTGTTTGCTGCCGCCGCCGCCGCCGCCACACGGGGTTTGTGAGAAGCGGCAGCGATCTGGATGCGACCTGAATGTGGGGTTAGCGTCTTTTGCGGCGGTTAGAGTTTCGGATGTGTGGCTCTCCATTGCTCTACTGCTGCTGCAACTGCAACTGCTGCCTCTACAATGCTGATCAAAGCCGCGATTGATGGATGGCTGAATGGATGGATGGGTAACCAGTGGCGTTTTGAAGGATAGACTGGCGCAGCACAAAGATGCACAAGGACCTGGCAATGGCTTCCGTGCTGGAGGCAATTTTTGCGGTTATGATGGTGGTGCGTGTGTATTTGTGTGTATTTGTGAGGGTTGAACACACGTTCAGAAGCCGACGCGCTGCGGCGGACATCAGCAATGGATTTGCGAGGGGACATGCTCAGACGAATTTAGACCCCTTAGATGCGGACACAGTCGTCGTACTTGTCGTACTTGTTCACGTGGTGGTAATGATAAAGGGTGCGAAGGGCGGTAGTTCGCGCACCGGTCGTTTTGTGTTGTGTTGCCAACAGCGCCTAGCTGCGCCACGGTTGAGCCACTTGTGTCCAAACAAAATTTGTTTTGTGTATTGCACGATATTGCACGAGTTCTTTTGTATACGTTGTGTTGATTGAACGGAGGATGCATTACGCAGCTGTTTTGGGGCTCTTGTGCTTGGAATCGTTTACGTGCGGAGTTTGGGGCTCTTGTGGGTTCCGGGGGGGGGGAGGTAGGGGCCCGACCCGGCTTCGGTGCTGTGTCTCCTCTGTGTATCTCAACCTGTAGCATGGGAAAAGTAATTAACACGGGGGTTTGTCGCGCTGTTCTGGGTCTGTCCTGCAACAGCCATCACAATTACGTGTACCATCACAACAATAACGTCATGTCTATGCCGCCCTGCTATTGCCGTACAGCGCTGTCTCGTGTGCCGTACCAGGAGAGTAGAAAGAGCGACGAGCACGAAGTTCATGCCTCGGTGCTTTGGGGCCCACTTAGGGTTTCAGCTTTTTCTTTGGGCCCTATGTTCATATATGATCCTATGTTCACACCAGCATGTAACCTCAAACACACGGAGAGCTAGCTACTTTTAATGATCCCTTCGTGTCAAATAAAGTGAAGTCAAGAGGGGCAATCCTGTATGATATGAATACTGTACAGAATGCCATTCGAGCAGTGCACGGCCCAACCGCGATATGTCTGTGCATGTCTGTGCTCGGCCTGACGGACAACAATGATTTCCGTACTTTGCCGTATGTTACAATCTGGCAATGCCCTATCTTGCCCAGCAACGCCAGCTATAAGACAGTAGCCAAATGTATTCATCGGCGGGCAGGACACGAGCCCCCCACCACCACTTCATCCTCCCCTTCCTCCTATATGTTATAGTAATAGTCCATATCCTGCAACACAAACCGCAGATAAAAAAATTTGCTGCAAAAAAAACTCAACGGGCGTCCACTTCATTATGGGACAATCTACTTACTTCGCGGGGTCTGGGATACTAGAAATCAATTTTTGGCTCCCATATGCCCCCGCCGCGCATTTGCCATCATCCCTGCCCGCCTTTAAACAGTATTACTTCGCTAAAATTTTCTTTGACCAGCAAAATCAAACCAAACCAATTCTCCTCTGAAGTGTTTGACTTCACAGAAGCAACCAAGCAGTAGTCCTTCGCAGTCCTTCCCAGCCACGCAACTCGGCCTTCCCAGCTACATCTTCCACATGGCCGTAATCATCACCTCGCTGCTTATTAGCTCCGTTTGCAACCCAACCTTCGCACCAGCAACTCAAGTACAAATCCATCGGTAACTTTGTTGGAATGTGACCGACACTCATCTACCAGAGAAAGGTTGCAGCAGTAATAATAGGACCGGGGGAAGTCCGGCGCTTTGCTGGTCTTAACAAACTTGGCACGTATTAAGTGACACGCATATTCGGGCATTAAAAACCAACCCATGAACTAAGTAAGCAAGCGTTGCCAAACGAAACGGAAACGGAACGGAGAACAAGGGGGAAAGAGATAGATAGGTTCGATTTTAGTCCAAACCCGCCGCACATCGCGCTCGCGCGGCGGGAATCATGCATGGGAATCATGCATGGCCGTCCTTGCCCGCGAGATCCATCATATCATATCTTTGTAAAATACTGAGCCGTTGCTCCGCTTCCATTTCAACGACCCAATTTTGCCCATAACCTGCATCAAGATCAAGGTCCCACTTGAAAATCCTGCGTTACCTGCCCTGCACTTGCCCAGCTCCTCATGCCATGCCACTTGTCCGGACAATCGCCCAAACCACCGACCAACCAGACGGAAAGGACGGTGAAGAAACGACTAAGCATATATGGGCGATGTATCATGATCCATCTGACAATCTGGGCAATGAAATAATAATGCTGCAAAAGACAACAGACGTTCGCGCCAACCCCTGGCGCCCCAACTCGCCCCGTAATTAGCGCGCATCCTGCGGCTCCCGCAAAAGCATGCCCCCACGCAAAAAAAACCCAATGATACCAACCTGTTCCAAAAACATAATGAAATGCATATCGATCGAAATGTGCACATCGCATGTGCACGCGTCAGGATTGCTGACGACACTGTTCCCTGCCAAAAGCAAGGATAGGAACGAAGACGAATCGAGCAGCCGACCCACATGCAAAACGACGGATACGCCACACGTTCAAATGACCACGTTAATTGACCCACTGAGGTGATGGCGGGGGCTGCCCACAGCATCAATATCTTCCGTGACTTTAGTTCATTTAATCTCTTACTTCCTGCACACGACGACGCGAGAAAAAATTCCGAACCCACGCACACCCGCGCGCGTACACAACCGCCCAAACAACCGCGTGTGACGTTACCCACACGCGCTTCACTGCAACCTGCAAGAACATCCTATAGGTGCATTCTGGCGCATATCTCCCTCTTCTCCCTCAATAATATTCCGGATGACCGTACAACGCAAACGTCGCAGCAAACTGGCACTTTCCTGCTCGGCACCGCGATGGTGAGTGCAACACAACACAACACAACACAACACAACACAACACAACACAACACAACACAACACAACACAACACAACACAACACAACACAACACAACACAACACAACACAACACAACACAACACAACACAACACAACACAACACAACACAACACAACACAACACAACACAACACAACACAACACAACACAACACAACACAACACAGCCGTTCCTAAGGTAGCTAGGCACCATCTCGCCATCCTGCCATCCCTTCACACCCACACCCATCCGTCACACTCACTCACTCACTCACTGAGCACCGCAGCCGCTGCACTGCTAGCCGCTCAGCAGCCCGCCACAGCCGCCAGCGCGTCCAGATGTGCAAGGCAGCCAGTGCGTGCCAGCTCACTGATCTTAAGGACATCAGCGTTCGATCTCCCTCTCTCCCCCCCTCTCTATATCTAACTCTGAGGAGGTGCCGGAAAGATATTTGACGCTGAGGGGGTGAAACACAGAACAAGGAACACGGGGAGATAGAGGAGAGACGCGGGCCGCACTGGACTGCCGCTACTGGCGGCGGCGGTGGCCAGCAAAGCCCGCGGGGCAGGCCGCCGGAAACACTGGGGGCGGCAGGACGTTGCGGATGAAGGCCGCGGGGTAGTTCTGATTGCCGGGCGGGCTGTAGTGGCAGACCAGGATGCCTGTGTTCTTCCGCAGTCCGACCACACCGTTGGCGCCGCAGTTGGTGTAGCCGCATCCGACGGTGGTGGTTTCCGCCCACACCATTTGGGTGTAGTGTCCGGTGGCTTCGCTGAAACCGGGGTTACCAAAATCATAATTGCAAATCTGGGGGGAAAGGTGGAAAGCGGCAGCAGCAGCAACAAAAGCAGCAGTAGCAGCAGTAGCAGCAGTAGCAGCCGCGGGTGATGATAAGTTTAGGGGAAGAGTTTAGGGGAATCGAAACGGCCGGCAGGGAAGGGGACGAAAGGGCAGACGGTCCAATGATGTTGTGAAATGGGGCGGCGGTGGTGAATGCGGGAGAGGGCAAAGGCGGAAGATGTGAAGTGGACATAGAAGAGGGCAGTAGTAGCAGCAGTAGCAGCAGCAGTAGCAGCAGCAGCAGCAACACACAACATTAGCAGAGCAGCAGCAGCAGTAGCAGTAATAATAGCAGCAGTATGAGCAGCAGCAGGAGCAGCAGCATCAGCAGCAACAATAGCATAGCAGCAGAAGCAGTAGCAATAGCGGTAACAGTAAAAGGAACAGTAACATTAGCCGTAACAGTAGCAGCAGTATCAAGGCAGTAGCAGTAGCAGCAACAGTGCCCAGGTTAACATGTACGACCCACCTCAATGTACCATAGGTAGATGCCGTACAATGGATCGGTAACTTTCTTGTACGTCCCGGAAGCTGCAAAGCGAAAAGACGCACCAGGGGCGGGTGGTGCGGCATCAAATAGCCGACATCAGAAGCCATGGTCATGTAGTGACGTGTGCGTATGTATGTATGTCTGGTAGAGGAGATAAACGAGGCGTCCGTGCAGTACACCTCTCTCTCCGTGCAATGCCCTGCCGTGCCGTGCATGACATGCTCTGTCCTATACGCGCCCCGCGACCATATACCCTGCTTCCCTGCTGCATCAATACACAAATAATACTTCCCCTTTTTCCCCCTCCCCCCCTCC